CACCTCCTAACTAAAAGACTTCGTCCCCTGTTTGCTTCCCGAGAAAAGAACAAAAAGGAAAAAACTCCACTCCACTCCTTTCCTCAGCCACAGAAGATTCAGGTTTCTTTTCAATATATCTAATAAACTTCAAGAATCATTATGGGAAGTATAGCGTCCAATCGGGAGATGTCCAAGGAGCTGGCTCGTGAGTTACTGATCTCGATTTCTTCTACTTTGTCTTATAAGGTTATGGATTTGGATAAATTTCGTCCAAGTTTTGAAAGGCCTAATAGAGTTGTTGCGGCGAAGGATGATCGAGTTGAAAAGTACAGGTCGGACTTGATCTCAATTTCCTATGCTCAATCCCCTGATGTTAAATGATGTTTATGAGGAATTATTTTGATGAAGGATTTTCGTGATATATTCATATATAAGGTGGGATACACAAAGCTTCCCATAGTGTGTGATAGGCTGTGTGAATACTTTAGAATTTTATGATATTATTCGCTTTAAATTATGATATTAGATAATTAAAATTAATTATAAAATTAAAAATCTATATCATTTCCTTTCAACCATTTATATCATTTTCAAGATCAATGTCAATATTTATATCTTCATTTGTGTTATTATAATCATGCAAAATGGGTAACACATCTTTCTCTTTAATTTCTCCATAAATTTGGGCAGTTTTTAGCGAATTGCCACGGATCCGACCTGATCTATTTCAACTTGACACGAATTTTTTTTAGGGCTTTCGACCCAAATTAATAAAGTCATATTGATTTATATCGATATTATTAAAAATACGAACAGATGCATATCATATCGTATCGTATAATACATATTAACGTATCGAAAGGTTTAGAATATACTTTCTGATACATGTCATTGACGACCTGTATTGAATCGTATCGTAGAATACGTATCACGTATCGTAAGATATTAATAACCATGGTTTGAGCCATGGTTGTCAAATCGCTTATAGTATCATATATCAAAAACCTAATTTTTCGAATCGTGTATCGCATATTGTATTGTATCGTAGGATATGCCTTTTTAAAAAAATAATAAATTTTTTCTAAAAACTAATATCTTCCCTAAGATTAATTAACAAATTTTTTGATATTATTGGCTCTAAATTATGGTATTACATAATCAAAATTGATCACAGAATTAAGAATTTATATCATTTCCTCTCAACCATTCATATCATTTCCAAAATCAATGTCAATATCTATATCTCCACTTATGTTATTATTATCATATAAAATGGGTAATACATCTTTCTATTTACTTTTTTCATGCAAATTTGGTAAATTTGGGCGGGTTTTAGTAAACCAGGTTAGGTGACTCGAATCCGATCCTAAATTTTTTTGGGCCTTTTGACCCAAATTAATAAAGTCATATCGATATTTTTAAGAATACGTATCGTATTGTAAGATATATATTAACATATCAAAAGGTTTAAGATATATTCTCTGATACGTATCATTGATGACCCATATCAAATCGTATCGTAGGATACTAATAACCATAGTTTGAGCTGCATTTATGTGTTGTGCTCTATGTTTGCAGCTGCATGTTACTTCCATTTTAAAGAGCTATTACCACTGTTACATCAGAACTTTGGGCACCTTTGACAAAATGAAAGTAATAAAAATTAACTTTTACTTTGTTGAAACCAAAAATTAATCCAATTATTAAAAACTGTTGTTTCATTTTAAGATTCCAACTGGTGCCAGCCTTATAATCCATATTCCTTAATATAAACATTATCTGTTAGTTGGTTTTCGGGTGAGTTTCAAGAAAAGGCTGGAGAAGATAAGAACAACTTCTGTCTGTTGTGAAGTTGTTTACTTAAACCACAACTCTTATAACTACACCAGCTTTAGCACCCAAATTCACCATTGCATCTCTCTCACTCTTCTGTTTGTGGTTGTGCATGCTTCTGTTTGGTTCCAGAGAAAACTAAATTTCTCAGCATTATCGGCGTAGCAGATTCAGCATTCAACACGACTCCTCCACCCGGCAACCAAACAGTAAATTCAGGTTTACTATGTTATTCAAGAAAAGTCTATGAGAAATTTAGAAATCAAGGACGAATTTAGAGCCCTCTTTTGTAAACCTTTTCTTGACATGGAATTTGGGTTTTGAATTGCAGGAGAAGTTTGAGATAGTTATGGATGTTGTAGTGGTGTCTGAGGAGCTGGCTCGGGAGTTACTTATGGGAATCTCTTGTTCTTTACCTCAAAAGCTTCTTAATTTGGATAATGTTCCTGAGAATTTTGACAGAGCTGATGCCATTCCAGTGAGAAATGGTGATGGAGATGAAAAATATAGGTCTGATTTGATCTCCATTTCTTACATTCAATCGCCTGATGTTAATATTGTTCCGATAGCACTGTAACACCATAAGGATTTTTGAGAAGTTATAATTTCGAAGGAACTGTTGTAAATTATAGTTGAGGTTCAATGTGCCATTGAAGTACTTCAGCTGATACATAATAATTCTGTCTATGTTTCTGATGTTATCTATATATAAATAGGGAGGAAGACACCTTCCAACTTTATGTACGGATTATAATGTAGTTCTTGTGGAAAAAAGTTGAAATTTTGTCTCAGTTTGTGATTGATTCTTCTTCTTATTCTTTAATTCACGTCGGACATGTATGCTAGAATTTGCTGGAATTACAGCTAGAATTCTGTACTGTTATCAGTTTATGACAGTAGGTGAGCCAGGTCTGGATTCTTTTTCTTCAATATGTCAAGTTTCAAAAGCTTAACTGAAGTATATATGGCAGAACATTTATTGCTGAGGTCTCATAACTACTGATTTTATATAACGTTATGAATTCTTTGATTAATATGATCAAGTTATCTGTTGTTTTATATTTCATTAAGTGTTTGAAGTTAATGTGAGAATTAATGTTATTGTTGGTAAATCAGAGTAGAATCGGAACTTCTGCACCCAAAGCTGATTAAGGAACAAGCCTGTTCAGAGTCTGTATGTTGAATATTGAGCGGAACCCGGACGATTGGAAGGTGTAAACCTGAGTTCTTGAGCATTGCTTTAATGCCAGACCCGAGCCTTCTCACCAGTATCAAGTATCAACTGAATAGTGGCTCTTCTTCCAGTGGAAAGGCGGCGGTTGTTTAAATTTTTTCTCGCTATCCTATCCTATCATATCCTATATCCTATCTTGTTATCTTATCATATTTAATAAAATAATTATTCTTCTATTCAAATCAAAATCCAATCATATTTTATTGATCTATTCAACCCAAAATATTTAATAATTATTTTTTAATAAAAATTTATATGTTAACAAAAACACCTCCACTCACCCAAGCTATTATCACCCGTCAGTAGCCACCGTCACTGCCATCATTGAACGCCAACGCTGTAATGACACACGATCGACTAGATCTGATCGATCGTTGTCGATCTATTCATTTTCAGCCAAATCTACTATAGATCTAATCGAAAAATATCAAATCGATGCACAACTAGCCAGATCCAACTATTCATGCGTCATTCTGGTGAATTCGAGCCACTGTCCAGTGGTGATGGCAGGCTGTCGGTAATAGTTGGGTTAATAAGGGTATTTTTGTTAATTTATAAATTTTTATCGTAAGAAATATTTAGTTAAATTAACAAATATATGAAGTTAAAAATTAATCAGGAAATATTTTTTAAAACACGTTCTGGTAATCTTATCTTATTTCATTAAATAATACTCTATTATAGAATGCTATTCTAAAAGGTATGACAAACGCACCCCGCTTTTGATCTCTCTTTGTAAATGTGTAATGAGTTTATTCCTAAAAAGTTATCAGTAATGGGCCTAAACCTTGGGTCAACGGCCTAGGTGGTTGGGTAGAATTCAACTTAATGGACTCCATTGTGGGATTCCCAATCCCATGGCTTCTGTGCCGACGTCCACATCATGCTCTGATGATGAATCGATAGAAAATAGGCCAAAACTTTGGGTCAAGGGCTTTAAGAAATGGAGTAGAACATACTTTTGAAAATCAATTTGGGAGTAGCGATGGCAATGGGCTAAGCTGGGATCGGGTATCCCTTAGCCCAGGTCCAAGCCCAATCTCATGACAAATGCCTAAGCCCGACCTCATGACAAAGGCCCAAACCCAACCCGTCATAAGTATGACAGGTAAAGCTCAAGTCCGATCCGACAGGTTTTTTGTAACATCAGACCCAGTCCAAGCCCACCCATTTTTATAATGTGAATTTTTAAATATTAATAAATTTTTATTTTTTTTATATTTTTAATTCCAGAAACAATTTTTAAATATTAATTTATTTTTGAATACTCACCAAATATATAAATAATTTTTCACAAAGTGCATCCATCCATCCATGTAGGGTTTGGAAAAAATGAGTATATATATGTAGGATAATCTTGTAATTAAATATATAGTATAAGGGTAATTTAGTATAATTAATACTAAAATTGCCAGGTCAGGCCGGGCCTGAAGACATACCCAGACCTAACCCCGTACCAGAGGTCGGACCTTAAAATCAGGTCCAAGCCCACAAACATCGAGTAAAGCTCGAACTTTTTGGGCCGGGCCAGGTATCTAGAAATATCGAGCTCATTGCCATCTCTATTTGGGAGGTGCCCACTTTATAAACCATTTAAGTAACCCCTCCACTCGTTTCCATGCATAACAGTGTTATGACAACAATGATTTGGTAATTAAGTTCTGATACATGATTAAACTCAACTTTGGGTCAACTTTGTCTTTATCCAAATGAACCTTACTGGAATCAACAACTGAGATACCTCATATCTGCTCACGTTTATGTTTAACAATTTAGAATGTTGCTGGCGTAATTGAATATGTAAGAAAACGGATACCTCGAAGACAAAAAGAATAATTCGTTTTGGAAGTATTCATAGCTAGATGATACTTTCCTCAGATAAACACCCTCAGCTGCATGTATGTATATATAACTGAATGACACAGATGTATAACAGCAATTCACAATTCAGTCTCCTGGCTAAGGTTGAAAAAAATGGAGTTGGGTTCATGGTGGATGGTTTTCACAACTTTAGGAGCAGCATTTGTTACAATGTTTTGGTTGGTAAAGAGAGCAAATGAGTGGTTCTTTACAAGGAAGTTGGGTAACAAGCAATATCCTCTTCCTCCTGGAGATATGGGGTGGCCTTTAATAGGAAACATGTGGTCTTTTCTTTTTGCTTTCAAATATGGTGATCCTGACTCATTCATCTCCAGCTTTGTCAACAGGTTCCTTCCTATCTCTCTTCTAACTCACCGATCTATGTTAAGTTCTTTTTTCTGTTCAAATTAAATCTTGTTTCAACTTAATTTGTATCTTTTGCTTGTTGGAATTCAAGATTTGGTCGGACAGGAATATACAAAGCCTTGATGTTTGGAAATCCTAGCGTTATAGTTACAATGCCGGAAACATGTAGACAAGTTTTGATGGATGATAAACGATTCAAGCAAGGATGGCCTAAATCCACTTATGAATTACTGGGGAAGAAATCATTTATGAGCCTTTCTGATGAAGAGCACAAACGCCTCAGAAGGCTAACTGCATCACCGATTAGAGGTCAAGAGGCACTCTCCATGTACCATGAATATATCAAGGAAGTTATAATCACGTCATTGGATGAATGGTCTAGCAGGGAGCAGCCATTTGAGTTCTTAACTGAGATAAGGAAGATCACCTTTAAGATCATTATGCATATATTTTTGAGTGTGGACAGTGGTCCAATGCTGGAGACAATGGAAAAGCTCTACACTGATCTGAATCATGGACTAAGAGCTATGGCGATTAACCTTCCTGGATTTGCTTATCATAAAGCAATTAAGGTATGATTTTAACCACTTTTCTTCCTGGATTTTCTTTCTGGATGAAAACTGACACTCTTGCATCAGGGGCGAAAGAAGCTGGTAAAGATCCTTCAAGATGTTGTAGAGGGCAGGAGAGCAAAGAAGAAAAGCGATGGATCGGAGAAGGACAAAGATATGATGGATTTACTTATAGAAACTGAAGATGAGAATGGAGGGAGATTGGATAATGAAGAGATCATAGACATCATCCTTGTGTACTTGAATGCTGGCCATGAATCTTCAGCCCATGCCTTGATGTGGGTGACCCTTTTCCTACATGATCATCCAGAATATTTCCTGAAAGCCAAGGTTTGATTTCTGGTCAGTTAACCTTCGAAATTTATCGAAACTATCAGATTAACATAATAATGAAGCTTAGTTTTGCAGGCAGAGCAAGAGGAGCTTGTAAAAAGAAAGGAACCAACAGAAACAGAATTGAGCCTCAGAGAAACTAAACAGATGGAGTATCTTTCTAAGGTAATCGATGAAACACTGCGCATTGCGAATATCTCCCTGTTAACTTTCCGGGAGGCAAGCACTAATGTCAACATTGGTGGTAAGTCTTTCTGCATTTTCTCTTTTCCTATTAACACTCAGTTATTCTTTTTCCCATTCTGCAATTCATAAATAAATTCTTCACTTTGAAGGATATTTGGTTCCTCAAGGATGGAAAGTATTGGTTTGGTTTAGGGCTGTTAATTTGGATTCCGAAAATCATCTCAACCCAACAAAATTTGATCCTCAGAGATGGGATGTAAGTAATTTAAGATGATTCATATTCTTTCATCAAATGTATAGATGAATTTTCTGTATGCAATTAATGAAGCATGAAAATGTAGGAACATAAACCCAAAGCTGGAAGTTACATTCATTTTGGAACAGGAAGTAGGTTATGCCCTGGAAGTGAATTGACCAAGCTTGAAATTTCTACATTTCTTCATTATTTTCTGCTTTCTTACAAGTGAGTTTCTCCACTGCATATATTTTTACTTGATTGCATTTATGAATTATTCTGCATTATCTCTAACTTTAAGTGTTTGAATATGTTGAGGCTGGAGAGAATTAATCCAGGATGCTCAGTAAGATACTTGCCTCATGTCAGCCCTAAAGACAATTGCCTTGCCAGGATCAAGAAGCTCTCGTAATAATGTTGTAACAGCCGACACAGTGTCAAGATATTATGAATTTATGCGCATCTCTTTTGATTTGAACCTAGGATTTCATCTTTGAAGACGTCCAAGGATTAAATCCTAGATTTGAATCAAATCCACAATATTTTGGTAATGACACTAGAAAATTCCTTGTTCTACTTAAATTGCACTATTTCAAATAATCATAAAGAAGAGTAGTCTCACTCTTCTCACTTTCTATTTTGGTTAATATCATCAAACATGTTGCTAATATAATTGTGCTAATAAATTCTTATTATTGAATAAAAGACACTAGAAAATGAACATTTTAGAAGATGCTTTATGTCTCTTATCCATCGCTTCTGTTGGGTTCACGTAATTATAATCGTCATGTATTATCTTATTCATCATATTTCGTAGGACACAAATTTATCTCCTACCCACCTCATTTAATGAGGTTCAATACTTTCTCGTAAATTTAGTTTAAGACTTTGGTTAAAAGTTTTGAATCCTTTTATACGAGTTAGGTAGAAGATAAATTTAAACCTCTTTAAATGAGATGGGTAGAATAAATTATGATCGTAATTCTCCATAGGTTAAAAAAATAAAAGGAGAAGAATAACTTAAGAAATCAATGTAGATTATAAATTGAGTAATGCTACAATTACTGAAAGATATGCATCGGATTCGTATACTAAATGACGTGATAAAATCTTAACTATCGATTAATTATGAATTAATATTAATTGACGATCAGAATTATGTCACATCATTTAATGTACATCCGTCGATGATAACTGTATTATTTTCCTTATAAATTAGAAGTTGTTGCCCACAAGTCAGAATTCTTGTGCCAAGGGTAGATTAAAATTTAAAACAAAAGAAAGACTAAAGTATGGAAGTAAGTAGAACTAGGTGGAAATCAGGTCAGCTTTTTGTTATTTTTTAATAAAAAAAAGTGTGATTTTTCATATATTATATTTATTTTGTTTGACTTATATTTAGATTTGATTAAGCCAATATAATAAATTCATTTATAGAATAATCCCACTATCCACTCATATAAAAACTAAAAATAAAAAGCTCATATATCTATCTATAAACAGAACTGAATTAGAACATTATTCTTTACAATAAAGATTGACTCGCAATCTTGGGCAATCAGACCCCAATGTCAGGTGATCAATTGTAATGTGATAAGGATTGTGAGAAAAAGCTTGTGAGATTGTGTTGTAAGTGTAGTATTGTCATATTCTTTGTAAGTGTAGTATTGTCCTATTTTTTTTTTAATAATCCTATAACCTCTTCTCATAAATTTTCTCTCACAACCTCGACTGGCAGCTCGTAATTGGTCAGTTACAATTTATTAGGTAGGATCCATTATAAGCTAACCAATTGCGAGCTGCTACGTTAGAGTTGTAAAAAGAAGTTTGTACGAAGCAGTTGTGGGTGTAACACTTTCCATTCTTTATATATATACAGAATATTGGTAATATTACAATGACAAACCCTTTTCATTAACTTTCTCTTATAAATGTAATATGATAGTTCATAATTGGTCAGCTTCTAATGGATCTTGCTTACCTAATAATGAGTCTCATTTAATCAATTACGAATTATTATGTAACATTTGTGAAAGAAAGTTATAATAAGGGTTTTTCAGCCCACTTTATCAATAGAATTCATATAAAAATATAATTAACAGACATTCTTATACATGAAAAAAGATTGTCTTCGTTACCTAAAAGTCTTGGAGTTGTCTACCCACTACAAAATTAATATATAAATTAAAGGGAGGAAATTAATGAACAAAGAAATGTGCGGTCCTACAAAACAAGAAAAAAACATGTCAATTCAACAAACAAGAACTAATTAATCAACAAGAGCGAGAAGAAGAAAGAAGAGGAAGAAGGAAAATGATTGAAATGAAGTCTGAAATCTTGTCAAGAAGATGTATCAAACCTTCTTCTCCAACACCTTCTCATCTCAAAACCTTCAAACTCTCTCTTCTTGACCAGCTCGCCCCTCCCATTCATGGTACCATGACCTTCTTCTACACCTCCACTCTTAACAATTCTTCAAATTTCTCCCAAACCCTCCAGGAATCACTCTCCAAAACCTTAACCCTCTTCTACCCTCTTGCCGGCCGCCTCCAGGACGCCGCCACCGTCGACTGCAACGATCAAGGCGTGTTCTTCATCGAAGCCAAAGTCAATATCCAACTCTCTCAGTTCCTTTCACAACCTGATTTCAATTTAACCGATCATTTCCTGCCCAGCAATGACTACCAAACGATGGAGCTTTCCAATGGCGCGATGTTGCTCGTTCAGTTCACTAGCTTCACCTGCGGTGGGGCGGCTATTAGTCTTTCTCTGACTCACAAACTTGCTGATATGTCAGCACTCGTCACTTTCCTTCGAAGCTGGACAAACGCTAGTTGCTTATTTTGCAAACCAGTTGTCCCGGATTTCATTGGGCCTAATCTTCTGCCCCCGAGAGATGATTTTCAAAACATGTCGGCTTCAGTGAACATCAAAGCTGCGAACTTTGCGTTGAGGAGATTTGTTTTCAGTACATCAAAGATAGCGGAACTTAAGGATAAAGTGTATGACCAATTTTTACTAGCGATGCATCGCCATCCTTCAAGAGTTGAGTTGGTGCTAGCCCTCATATGGAAATGCGCCATGGCCGCCAACAGATCAAAATCAGAGTCATTTAGGCCATCAGTTTTGTTCCAGGCTGTGAATCTCCGCAAAAGAATGACCCCTCCTGTTCCTGAAACCGCTTTCGGAAACTTTGTCTGGCCATTTATGGTGCTTGCAGAAGAAGATAATAAGGATGACTTGGAACTACACGAGCTGGTGACTGAGATGAGAAAAGCTTTCAACAACTTCTGCAATGAAAAGGCTGATAAATTTAAAGGGGAAGAAGGTCATTTAGCCATTTTGGGAGCTTTAAAAGAGAGAGGAGAGTTTTTCAAGAACAATAGGGAGATGACGGTTTACAAGTGTACGAGTTGGTGCAAATTTCCATTGTATGATACTGATTTTGGTTGGGGGAAACCCGTTTGGCATGTTAGTGTGAACAAAATAGTGAGCAATACAATTGCTTTGGCCGATACGAGATCTGGCGATGGAATTGAAGCGTTGATTACTTTAGATGATGAAGAAATGGCCATTTTTGAGCGCAATGAGGAGCTACTGGAATATGCCACTCTCAACCCCAGTATTGCTTGTGCTTGACTTCAGATTTTCTACTGTTATTGTTAATAAGGGCTTTGAATTTTCTTTAATAAATTGGATTGTGATATTATTGTGGTTTTGTGTTGGATCAATTTATGAAGCCAAATTTTTAATTTGCTGCTAAAAGACTTTTGTTTTGTAAGTGGTTCAAGTTTTCTTCCCGATAAAAATGGTATTCTTTTAAAATAAATTTTAGATCATCTTCTGTTTGTGGTTGTGCATGTTTCTGTTTGGCTCCAGGAAAACTAAATTTCTCAGCATTATCGGCGTAGCAGATTCAGCATTCAACACGACTCCTCCACCGGCAACCAAACAGTAAATTCAGGTTTACTATGTTATTCAAGAAAAGTCTATGAGAAATTTAGAAATCAGGACGAATTTAGAGCCCTCTTTTGTAAACCTTTTCTTGACATGGAATTTGGGTTTTGAATTGCAGGAGAAGTTTGAGATAGTTATGGATGTTGTAGTGGTTGTCTGAGGAGCTGGCTCGGGAGTTACTTATGGGAATCTCTTGTTCTTTACCTCAAAAGCTTCTTAATTTGGATAATGTTCCTGAGAATTTTGACAGAGTGATGCCATTCCAGTGAGAAATGGTGATGGAGATGAAAAATATAGGTCTGATTTGATCTCCATTTCTTACATTCAATCGCCTGATGTTAAATTGTTCCGATAGCACTGTAACACAATAGGATTTTTGAGAAGTATTATTTCGAAGGAACTGTTGTAAAGTATAGTTGAGGTTCAATGTGCCATTGAAGTACTTCAGCTGATACATAATAATTCTGTCTATGTTTCTGATGTTATCTATATATAATAGGAGGAAGACACCTTCCAACTTTATGTACGGATTATAATGTAGTTCTTGTGGAAAAAAGTTGAAATTTTGTCTCAGTTTGTGATTGATTCTTCTTCTTATTCTTTAATTCACGTCGGACATGTATGCTAGAATTTGCTGGAATTACAGCTAGAATTCTGTACTGTAATCAGTTTATGCAGTAGGTGAGCCAGGTCTGAACTTTTTCTTCATATGTCAAGTTTCAAAAGCTTAACTGAAGTATATATGGCAGAACATTTATTGCTGAGGTCTCATAACTACTGACTTTATTAAAGTTATGAATTCTTTGATTAATATGATCAAGTTATCTGTTGTTTTATATTTCATTAAGTGTTTGAAGTTAATGTGAGAATTAATGTTATAGTTGGTAAATCAGAGTAGAATCGGAACTTCTGCACCCAAAGCTGATTAAGAACAAGCCGTTCAGAGTCTGTATGTTGAATATTGAGCGGAACCCGGACGATTGGAAGGTGTAAACCTGAGTTCTTGAGCATTCTTTAATGCCATACCCGAGCCTCTCACCAGTATCAAGTATCAACTGAATAGTGGCTCTTCTTCTAGTGGAAAGGCGGCGGTTGTTCAAATTTTTTCCTCCTATCCTATCCTATCATATCCTATATCCTATCTTGTTATCGTATCATATTTAATAAAATAATTATTTTCTATTCAAATCAAAATCCAAATATTTTATTAATCTATTCAACCCAAAATTTAACATTATTTTTTAATAAAAATTTATATATTAACAAAACACCTCCACCCACCCAAGCTATTATCACCCGCAGTAGCCACCGTCACTGCCATCATGAACGCCAACGCTGTAATGACACACGATCAACTAGATCTGGTCGATTATTGTCGATCTATCCATTTTCAGCCAAATCTACTATAGATCTAATCGAAAAATGTAAATCGATGCACAACTAGACAAATCCAACTATTCATGCGTCATTCTGGTGAATTCGAACCACTTCCACGGTGATGGCAGGCTGTCGGAATAGTTGGGTTAATAGGGTATTTTTGTTAATTTATAAATTTTTATCGTAGAAATGTTTAGTTAAATTAACAAATATGAGTTAAAATTAATATAAATATTTCCAGAATATTTTTAAAACACGTTCGGTAATCTTATCTTATTTCATTAATAATTAGTGGCTCTGTTGGTTCACAATTTTGTGTTTTTGGAAAAAGTTTTTTGAAAAAAGTTAAAAAAAAAGTTGAATTAGGCGGGTATACGATGTAGGATTTACCAATTAAAATACCCCCTATGTTTATTTTTTTACAAAACACCCCTTATAATAAAACATTAAAAGTTAACAAAAACACCCCCAATCCACCCTCAAATACGGACAGCCGGCCACCACCGCCGGAGGGTGGCCGGAGTCGCCGTAACAAAAATATTAAAATATTTAGGGGTATTAATTGAATTAATAAATTTGGGGGTTTAAAAAATATGAATAAAGTTGAATAATGTTTAGGGTATTTTACTGTTTAACTTTTGGGAATACTAAAAGTGTATTCCCAAAATCCAACCAAACGAAGCCACTCTATTATAGAATGCTATTCTAAAAGGTAAGACGAACGCACCCCGCTTGATCTTCTTTGTAAATGTGAATGAGTTATTCCTAAAAAGTTATCATAATGGGCCTAAAACCTTGGGTCAAGGGCCTAGGTGGTTGGGTAGAATTCAACTAAGGACTCCATTGTGGGATTCCCAATCCCATGGCTTCTGTGCCGTCCACATCATGCTCTGATGAAATTGATAGAAAATGGCCAAAATTTGGGTCAAGGGCTTAGTGATTGGGTAGAACATTCTTTTGAAAATCGATTTGGGAGTAGCGATGGCAATGGGCTAAGTTGGGACGGGTATCCCTTGGCCCAGGCCCAAGCCAACCTCTAACAAGGCCTAAACCCGACCCGCCTAAGTATAAGGTAAAGCTCAAGTTGGTTAACGGGCTTTTTGTAACATCAGACCCAGTCCAAGCCCACCCATTTTATAATGTGAATTTTTAAATATTAAAATTTTTAATTTTTATATTTTAATCCCGAAACAATTTTTAAATATAATTTATTTTTGAATACTCACCAAATATATAATAACTTTGCACAAGTGCATCCATCCATCCCTGTAAGGTTTGGAAAAATAAGTATATATATGAGGAAATCTGTAATTAAATATATAGTATAAGGGTAATTTAGTATAATTAATATTAAAATTGTCAAGTCAGGCCGGGCTGAAGACATACCCAGACCTGACCCGTACCAGAGGTCAGACCTTAAAATTAGGTCTAGCTACAAACATCGAGTAAAGCTCAAACTTTTTGGCTGGGCCAGGTATCAAAAAATATGAGCCCATGTCATCTTATTTGGGAGGTGCCCACTTTATAACCATTAAGAACCCCTCCACTCGTTTCCATGCATAACAGTGGTATGACAACAATGATTTGGTAATTAAGTTCTGATACATGATTAAACTCAACTTTGGGTCAACTTTGTCTTTATCCAATGAACTTTACTGGAATCAACAACTGAGATAACTCATATCTGCTCACGTTTATGTTTACAATTTGAATGTTGCTGGCGTAATTGAATATGTAAGAAAACTGATACCTCAAAGACAAAAAGAATAATTCGTTTTGGAGTATTCATAGCTAAGATACTTTCCTCAGTACACAACCTCAGCTGCATGTATGATATATAAACTGAATGACACAGATGTATAACAGCAATTCACAATTCAGTCTCCTGGCTAAGGTTGAAAAAAATGGAGTTGGGTTCAGGTGGATGGTTTTCACAACTTTAGGAGCAGCAGTTGTACAATGTTTTGGTTGGTAAGAGAGCAAATGAGTGGTCTTTAAGGAAGTTGGGTAACAAGCAATATCTTCTCCCTGGAGATATGGGGTGGCCTTTAATAGGAAACATGTGGTCTTTTCTTTTTGCTTTCAAATATGGTGATCCTGACTCATTCATCTCCAGCTTTGTCAACGGTTCCTTCCTTCTCTCTTCTAACTCACCGATCTATGTTAAGTTCTTTTTCTGTTCAAATTAAATCTTGTTTCAACTTAATTTGTATCTTTTGCGGGAATTCAAGATTTGGTCGGACAGGAATAACAAAGCCTTGATGTTTGGAAATCCTAGCGTTATAGTTACAATGCCGGAAACATGTAGACAAGTTTGATGGATGATAAACGATTAAGCAAGGATGGCCTAAAGCCACTTAGTATATTACTGGGGAAGAAATCATTTATGAGCCTTTTGATGAAGAGCACAAACGCCTCCGAAGGCTAACTGCATCACCGATTAGAGGTCAAGAGGCACTCTCATGTACCATGAATATATCAAGGAAGTTATAATCACGTCATTGGATGAATGGTCTAGCAGGGAGCAGCCATTTGAGTTCTTAACTGAGATAAGGAAGATCACCTTTAAGATCATATGCATATATTTTTGAGTGTGGACAGTGGTCCAATGCTGGAGCAATGGAAAGCTCTAACTGATCTGAATCATGGACTAAGAGCTATGGCGATTAACTCCTGGATTTGCTTATCATAAAGCAATTAAGGTATGATTTAAACACTTTTCTTCCTGGATTTTCTTTCTGGATGAAAAACTGACACTCTTGCATCAGGGGCGAAAGAAGCTGGTAAAGATCCTTCAAGTGTTGTAGAGGGAGGAGAGCAACGAAGAAAAGCGATGGATCGGAGAAGGACAAAGATATGATGGATTTACTTATAGAAACTGAAGATGAGAATGGAGGGAGATTGGATAATGAAGAGATCATAGCATCATCTTGTGTACTTGAATGCTGGCCATGAATCTTCAGCCCATGCCTTGATGTGGGTGACCCTTTTCCTACATGACATCCAGAAATTCCTGAAAGCCAAGGTTTGATTTCTGGTCAGTTAACCTTCGAATTTATCGAAACTATCAGATACATAATAATGAAGCTTAGTTTTGCAGGCAGAGCAAGAGGAGCTGTAAAAAGAAAGGAACAACAGAAACAGAATTGAGCCTCAGAGAAACTAAACAGATGGAGTATCTTTTAAGGTATCGATGAACAATGCGCGGGCGAATATCTCCCTGTTAACTTTCCGGGAGGCAAGCACTGATGTCAACATTGTGGGTAATTCTGTTTTCTCTTTTCCTATTAACACTCAGTTATTCTTTTCCCATTCTGCATTCATAAATAAATTCTTCACTTTGAAGGATATTTGGTTCCTCAAGGATGGAAAGTATTGGTTTGGTTTAGGGCTGTTAATTTGG